GGGGGTGGGGGAGGAGGAATTTACATGCCCTAAATTTCTCGCCTTATTTAACCAAAATAATCGATTTGGGCATGTCTTAAACCGATCTTGTTTTACTACTTTTTTTCATTTTACTTAGGAAGCAAAAAAAAAAAAAAGAATAAGAATGACATTCATAAAAAATTAGGATTAATTATACAAAAGGTCTCCAAAGTATGGGTTTATCTCATTTTGGTTCTCAATATTTCAATTGCATCATTTTGGTTTTCGAAGTATTGAATATGTTTCTATATGGTCCATCAAACAAACAACATTCAAATTATTAATTATTTTTTATTATAAATTTGTCTCGTAATATAAAAAAAAAATACTTTAGATAACTTTTCAAAAATTTTTTACTCAAATTTTAGTTAAATAACTACCCAAATTACATTATTTTGATCATGAGATACCTCAATTTTAATCAAAAATTACNGCAAAAGGCAATTGAAGAAAATTTTATTATTAATTAAATTAATAAAAATTTAAAATTTAAGAAAATAAGGGGGAAGATTTTTCTTTTTCTATAATTAGTTCTATTAATATGTATAGTAAATGTATTACAATTGATAAAATAAAAAAAAATCTAAGATTGGAGAATTTAATGAGAGAAAAACTTCTTATGTGCTTAAAAAAAGGGGTTTAGGGAGGTCGGTACCTCTCAAAAAATTTAATAGGATAAAAGTACAAATTTTAAAATAATTGAAATAGAAGTACATATGCTAAAAAAAGTCATAAAAGCCTTTTTACCCCACCATAAATAGTATATTTCTAATTGAATGTGAGAGTTTCAAGATTAAAATGTGAGACTTTCAAAATTTTTTTTGATATTTGGGTATCATTTGAATTTAGAAAGTTTATATATATGTACATGCACACACACACACACGTAATACTGTGACATCAAATAGTGTCACGCTCAATAAAAAAAATAATAATATCAAACAGTGACACACTTAACAAAAAAAGACTAACACTAAACAGTAACACACTCAACAAAAAAATAGTAACATCAAACAATAACACAAACATTTTTGTTGAGCATGTCACTGTTTGATGTTACTCTTTTTTTGTTTAGCGTGTCACTGTTTGGTGTTACTATTTTTTTATTGAGCGTGTCACTGTTTAATGTCACTGTATTACGCGCGCGCGTGTGTATATATATATATATAATTTTAAAATTCAAATGATACATAAATATCAAAAGAAATATTGAAAATTTCACACTCAAGTAGGTATGCACTATTTATGATAGGAGTAATTATGGAATACATTTTAGAAAGAATTTAAAAATATTTTAAAATGTGTATTTNTTTAGTTAAATAACTACCCAAATTACATTATTTTGATCATGAGATACCTCAATTTTAATCAAAAATTACTCATATTACACATATTTTGTCAAGAGCTACCCAAATTTTGTTTAAGAGCTATTAAAATTATTTTTTGTCTATATTTATGTATTACGTGACAAGTTTATGATAAAAAATATCATTAGCAATCTAGATGTTGTCTGCTTGAGGAACCAGATATAAATATATTCAATACTACTCATGAACCAAAATGATGCAAATGAAACATTAATGATCAAAATAAGACAAAGATTATACTTTTGGGGACCTCCAATGTAATTAACCCAAAAAATTAATAAGTTTGATTTACTTGTCGAAACTGCCTTTAGATTTCTTTCATGGCCCCCAACATGCTAATGAACAAGTATTGCATCCTTAATTAGTTTCTCACAAATTTTGATTAGTCTTAAGCTATGTTTCACAAGAGAGAAGATTATGTAAAAATTCAACGAGTTTAGAATAAAATTTTATGGTACGTTTTCACAATCTCGTCTTTGTTAACAACTTTAATATTAGATAGGAGAAAGGGTAAATTGAAGATTAAAACTATATACCGCTGCTTTTATGGGTAAATTTTTGTATTTTTGTAGGAAAAAAATTGATTGGATTTGAAAATATCGATACCATGNTTGAAGATTAAAACTATATACCGCTGCTTTTATGGGTAAATTTTTGTATTTTTGTAGGAAAAAAATTGATTGGATTTGAAAATATCGATACCATGTTTTTTTTCTATCAATTATTCATTTTCTTCTAACCAAACTCGTGAAAACCTTAGATTTTTTCTTTTTTCCCTATTTGTCATGGACCCTTAACCATCCATAACAATCATGTCTCTCCACAATCAAGAAGAAATAGAATTTACTAATTAAAGTTATTCAAAAAAATTCCAATTATATTATTACTAATGAGAATACTTTGCATGCAAAGATTCCTGGTAATCTTTAAATTTAAGCATGACATAACATCCATCAATTTTGTTTCCGACAATAACAATTTTGTACTATTAGAAGATGCCTCTGATTTAAATCAAAAAAGTGTAGACGTTTCACCCAATTCACGTAAAGAACATACCTTTTGGAGGATAAAAAAGTTGGACTAAAATCTCACACAACCCCAAAATTCAAACCCACATTTTAAATTGATTATAACTAACTTTTAATTTGGAANTTGGACTAAAATCTCACACAACCCCAAAATTCAAACCCACATTTTAAATTGATTATAACTAACTTTTAATTTGGAAATTTCCTGTTTTTCCCCTTTTCCAATTTCGTTGCTTTGAATCTTTTTATTTGTCATCCGAACAGGTAGTCTAGTGATAAGTCGTACTCATTCAAGATCGTTATTGACTCCCATATACTTATTAAATAGGATTCGATTCATGGAATAAAAACAGATTATTGTTTAACTTTAGTACTGCTGTGGTGGCGGTCTATCCTTCCGGTTTGTAGTTATAATTCAAACTGGATATTACACGGTGGAAGAACTCTCATGATCACACCCTAGGAGGATTACTATCTACTAGTTGTCCCTCTCCCCTTTTCCCAGTTCAAAAAAAAATTATTCTTATTTGTTTTTCAATCGTAAGCTGAAATGTCCACGTAGGGATTGTAAAGAGAAAGTTAAAGTAGGTTTAACTGTTTTGTTGATGCCATATAGCCCTGTTCTTCTTTTACAAAATTCGCATGCCAAGAATCTTGACATATCAACCATCAAAACTTTATCATCCAAATTAACTTGATTGGGTAACAAATAATTCAAAAAAGTTATGATCGCCTGCAACACATATAATCGAGGGTCTTCACCTATGCACAAGATATGTTATCTTTTGGTTTTTAATTATCATCACAAATTCAAAAAAAAAATTTAGATTTGTTATTATTATTATTCCAACTTTGTCGCATATATACGATTTTTTTTTTTTCATTTTACATGTATGAAGGGATGCTTTTTTCTCTAGACAAAGATAAGGTTGATGCTTTAGCTGCTGCCTTTTGATTCATCTTTCTGTGTCTCGAGGCAATGCATAAAAGCTTTGCTTCCTACTACTACTTATACACGTAGATTTACCATTACAAAAGTTTCAAGTCATTATCCAAAAACAATTTAGTATTCATCTACTCTTTTTCTTTTATGTGTTTTGTTGACGTATTAAAGTATCTTCTTAAGCTTTTTGTATTTTTTATTCATAAATAACACGTAAATTATGGACTAACATAATCACAAGCAAACCATATACACATCGAGTAAATTGAGATAGGAGTCGGACTTGAAATCTCTAGATTGTATCCCAAAAAATTTTCTCATCTAAATTCTTTAAAATAACGAGTGATTGTTTCATGCACGATTTACGAATTTATATGAAAATTGGTATAAAGTTAGTGAGTTTAGGTTTAGTATTATCTTGTTGGAAAGGTATATGGGTGACCATGTCAAAACCATCAAATAGATATTTCGACACGAACCCGACTAAACACCGCTTATATTGTTAAGCGCAAATCTAATATGATATGAACTAAACAATACACAATTATATATGATCAAACATGAATTGACAAAATTTTAATACGATAGGACTTAGACGGTTTAAAAACACGCTATTGCACAACTGATTGTACGATTATGCTAGCCTCAATTGAAGAGTTTCAACCTGGGATCATCTGACCAAAAACACAGGATCGCCCTTATCAGACAGCTGAATCTATTGCTCCAAAATGTTATTATTAAAACAAATCTTCACGTTATGGAGTGCATGTGCAGGCAGTGTTGCCTAATTTTCAACAATATTCATGGTAGATTGAACCTTATTGTATCCAAATGCAGAGAACTTTGACCTAGAAATTTGTATGGGATAATTCCTGCAATAGTTTGAGCCAGTGATCTCTACGCTGGCGAACTTGAAACAACAGGGTCAGAAAAAGGGGGTCAGGTGAACACCCGGCTTACCCCCTTTGAAGCTTAAGTCAATCTAAAGTCGAAGGGTTTAACTTAATGGACAATCTTTTTCTGGTTCAAATTTGTGTACCTTTATCCATTTTTTTGAAAAGTATTTATATATGAATTAATAATGATTGTCAAAGTTCTCCAGTTTCATCTAGACATCTTATATCTGACACACCATTCTTCGTGTAATGAGTGTTTTCTACTCACGTCTCTTCCTATTAAATGCTAGGAAGATGGGATAAATGCTCGACCAAATGCCGAGCATTTATGCCCTTCCCCCAAGTACCCAAATCTCCCAGATCGGCATCTGACATCAACTGATCATTGAATACTCGTGNCCTCCTATTAAATGCTAGGAAGATGGGATAAATGCTCGACCAAATGCCGAGCATTTATGCCCTTCCCCCGAGTACCCAAATCTCCCAGATCGGCATCTGACATCAACTGATCATTGAATACTCGTGAGAACAGTTCTTCGGGGGGAGCCGATTGCGTCATCTCGACGCATCAGCCATTAATGCTTAGCCATCATGACAGTAGGCCTAGACTCCTAGAGAGCAGCTGCTTGCAGGCGTGTATTTGTTTGTCTTGTCACTATCACTCATTCCGCCATAAATGAGGGTTCACATTGCATTAAATACGATGTCAGCTTGTTGTACTCGGCTACCCCGTGTCACCATACCTTGGCNGAGCAGCTGCTTGCAGGCGTGTATTTATTTGTCTTATCACTATCACTCATTCCGCCATAAATGAGGGTTCACATTGCATTAAATACGATGTCAGCTTGTTGTACTCGGCTACCCCGTGTCACCATACCTTGGCTTATCTCCTCGGCGCCCTTTGGACATCCCAACGACTTTATCATTCCATGTGTCAACCTGAGGGCTATAGAGCCACCTAGAGTCCCGCCAAAATTAATGGTTGAAACCTAGAAAGACAAAAAAGGATGGACATTACTGAACACCTTTTAAACATTACAGCGGAGTTTGTTGAAATATAAGTATAAACAAAGATGGTAGGCTAATGGCACCAACATTCTTACAAGTGGGTTGGCGGNGACATTACTGAACACCTTTTAAACATTACAGCGGAGTTTGTTGAAATATAAGTATAAACAAAGATGGTAGGCTAATGGCACCAACATTCTTACAAGTGGGTTGGCGGTGGATTGTATTATGTCTGAGTTGGTATCGTTGAATTGAAAACAGATATTTGACTCACTTATAGTCATATATATAGTCCTGTTTAACTGATATTCGACTTATTTACGGTGTATGTAAAGTTATGCTTAACTGATTTCTGACTTATTTATAGTTTTATAGACAAATTATTGTCATATCGAATTCGTAGTGTTTATAAATTATGCCATGTATGACTTTTGTCATATATAAATCATGAATATTTGGTAATGTATAGTTACATTTTTGTCAATCTATCTAGTAAAATAATGTAACCAACCAACCTAGATATGCATTATGACTAAACTCACATCTGCTAATCTCATCCGAATTTGAATGAAATTGTATGGGAATCACTTTTGCTTTCTTGATTTAGCGAGTTGGACTCAAATGAGATGACGTACAAAACGTTCATATCATGCAATAAAATTGAATATCTTACGGTACCCCTTCTCTCAAATTTTTTTTTTTAAAAAAAAATCTGTAATCCATTTAAGTGAAATCTAATTTTGTGTTCAAAGTCCAATATTCCTACATCAGCTTGTGTGGATTTCATACATTTTTAAATACCTCCATCCCTCTCTTTCCTTTTCTTGACAACTATTGTTCTTTGATTTTCTTAATAGGCCACCAAGAGAGAGACAACAGGAGAGGGAAATAATAAGACTTAGTCAAGCCACCATTAGAAAGAAGAAAAATGAGCATTCCTCCATTTGCACGTGTCATTAATTTTTTCTATATCTTTTTAATTTTATCAGGTATTTCCAAAGGTACGTGAAAAAAAACAGAAAAAAAAAGAGTTAATCTCAAATTACATCTTGAAAGATCGTTTGAATTTCAATTTACACCCTCAAACTAATAGCCGTTAGAGAGGTGATTAAGTGACATATATGAGGGGTGATTAAGTGACAAATATGAGGGAATTTAGATATAATTTATCCATTTAATTTTAAATGGCAAACCAACGATTGTTAGTTTTAGGTACATATTAATACAAATTTCTATATTTTAGGGTGTAAATTAAGATTTTTTTCTTTTTGAGGGTACAAATTAAAATTTAAACAATCTTTTGAGATATAATTTTTGATTAACCCTAGAAAAAAGAAGACGCTGTCATTACCAATAATTCCACCATTAAACACGAAAAGAAATTCAACCATAATAAAGCAGCCATATCACTTTCTAACTAAAAACTCAGCCGATATTTTTGAACAAAGAATATATTACATAATCATTTTCATTCAATATCTTGACATTTTAAGTTTGAGTTCCGGGTGATTTAGTCTACGTGTGTGTGATTTATAAACGATTGTATGTATTTCAAAGTTACTTTGTAACCACATGCCAAAAGACTTGTTGTTAGTACGTTAAAAAAATTGCACATAATTACGTGTGGTCATCTCATTCAAGCAAGTGTCGTCGTTTGTAAGAGCAACACTCATCTATGCAATTAGATCCCAATTTGGTAATTGAGTATAGAGCCTATGAGTTTTTTGAATACAT